CCCCAAAACCCCAAAACCCCTTAAAGCAAGATTGATGGTTAAGTTATGAAATTAAACAAATTAATTATTAAGAGATATGATTATCTTATGGTAAACTTGGATTTAAGTAATCAAAGAATATATCTAAAATAATTCTAAAACTCCCTTATAAATTTTAATCAATCTGAAAACACATGTGAACTGCTGCTACTTGACTCTTCTGCCTCATCATCAATCTACTTTATGTTAAACCCGACTTTCTTGGCAAATTTAGCAGCCTTTACAAATCTTTTCTTAATCTCTTAATAGCCTTCCAGAACTTCTTCTAGCATTGAGGAATTATATTCACTTGTTGCTTGTAAATAACTCATTCTCTTACGACTTCTCAAATCATAAAATAGGAACAGTTCCTCCATTGTACTATACTAGAACTAAATAATGCTTTTTTATACGATTCCAAAATTAATCATCTCCACAAGCGAAATATTTTTTTAGTCAATCCTCTTTGGTAAAGAAAGTAGCATTAATTCTAAGTTGATTGTCTACTGATCACCCATTGAATATATAGTGAATTTTTCAATAAAACTTAAAGCAAGTTTATCAGACTTTGAAAATTTTTCATTTCCTTAGAACTTTTCAAAAGCTTTGAATGAGAATCTGTTAGTCTCACTTGAGTAAATCTTCTTAGATGATAGCTTGTGGATTCTTTGCTTTGAAAAACCAAGGGATGTCTTCTTCCTCTTTATTTCATTTAGGAATTTATTATACATTCGTCTACCAATTAGCTTTATCAAGTTATTGCTTGACTTGGTGTTTTACTTGCTGCCAGATTGCTTCATTTCTTATTTGAATTTCTTATGATATTTTTTCCAAATGTCAAAAAGTAGCTTTTTATGTATCTCAAAGTAGCTATTTTTATTATTATCTTCGATATTGTACATCTCTTAAAAAGATTAATCCTAATTTTTTTTTTAAATTTCATTATAGCCCAGTTATAGCCCTGAGAGTGGTGGTAAATCACTTGAGTTGTTTTAAGGCCTCACTCTTTTCCTCTTGCTTGAGCTAGATCTCTTACGCTCACTATCCTCAAGCTAGTATGAATTATTATCATTGAAATCGCTTTAAATATCTTATGAGTAATCAACTTGCGAATCCCCTTTCTTCTATTAATTTTATTACTAAACTTGATGCAGTCTTGTTATTTTCTATCTTTTTAAGCACTCTCTATAAGTAGTCTTTATTACAAGTTTGATCTCATTATAAATCTTTAGTCTTCTGTAAAGTTCTTTTTGTGATCTACTATTCAATGGAATTTAATTATATAAATCATTTTAAACCATTAGCTCATCCTCATCAACTTCTAATTGTTCCATTTTGAATAGCTTTAACATATTTTTCTAATCAATCAAGATGAAGGCCAATAAGCATAATGGTCCAAAGAAAAGCCAAAAAATTAAACAAAACAAAAGCCAAAGTTTCGAATCAAAGAGTTTGATAATCAGCTATATAAATATCTTTATATAGCAAAAGGGAACCAAAATTAATTCTAAAGTTACATATAGTCCTACTAGAAAAATGTTATCAATCCAGAAGATCATTGATTCTATATTTACCGATACCTTTTTTCTACAATTTGGGAATGGGATCAAGAATATGAGTATAATAGATAAAGCATTAAAAGGAGGAGGATGCATTATCATGTTATCTAAGTCATCGGGAGAATAGTCAAATCCTTGTTTTTTAGAAGTATAAAAATAAAATCTGTATTTCTTGGCTTAAAACTCCCCAGCCTTGAGCATAAACTAGTATATCGAATCAATTATAGCTACAAGAAAATTCAGTAAGAAAATGTTTGTTATGAACAAGAAAATCATTATAAAAACCGAGAAAGATCTTTGAAAGATTCCATAATCTTCAAACTGGTAGTTAGAGACCATGCAGTCGAAAAGATATCTTATTGATGACCAAATAGTTTCAAAATGCTCACTGACTTCTGAAAATCTAGTGGTAAATGCCGTTGCACTAATAATCAGTACTAGTATTATCATTGCAGTAAAACTCATTGTATCAATTATCATTTAATACAGCGTAACAATTAGTTTTGCCATTCGAGTTGATAACAAAAAATAGTTGAAAAATCTCAGCCAGGTTATAACTACAACAAAAACAAGAGCACAGTCATATTTGAATTTCTAGGAAGATTATTAGACTTCAATAGCAGTCATCTGATTTAGGAATAAAATAGCACTAGAACTACTAATACTAATGATTATGTCGGTATAGAACCAGATTTGATGTCTTTAAGGTAACTTAAAATGAAATTTGAAAAGTATTCTTTGAATTATGTGCGCCAGAATCAGAAAAACTATATAAAAAATTTTACGTTGAAATTATTATACCTATTCCAAGAGCAGCTATACTTTCAGTCTGATAATTTTCAACTTATCTCTAAACATCTTAAAATGTTTTAAGCTTTTCTAAAGTGATTTTATTCAGTGAAGTATAGTAGTCGAAATTTATATATTGAAACAAGAAAACTACAAGTAAAGAGCAAAAGAAATCCTTAATAGCGATAAAGTAGATTGATTTCATCCTATTTTTAGAGAGCCAAAAAAACTTCTGCTTTTCACCAATGTATTTGAAGTTATTAGTATAGAGTCTCCAAAATGAGTACTCTTAGCTTTAAATCAAATCTGCACTGCTTGTTACTATTTAAATATAAAACTTAAAGCGCCTTACTCATATGTACAATAATGGAAAAATCAGGCATTGTGCCATTACATTCATAGAAAAACTGCCCATGCCAAATCTCATTTAAAAAGGTGTCAATCTTCTCATTCTATGTTAATTCTTGAAAATCATTATAGATTATTGTATTTAAAACTGATCTTTTCTTCATGTCTTCATCTAGCATGATCTTGTGAATTTGATCCAGATCAATGTTAGCAATTAGCTACTTTCCAAGCTTTATTAATTTCTTTTTAAGTTAAGTGGTTTGATGTCTTAGAATTTGATAACCTAAAGTAAGATATTATACTTATGAAAGTTACTTTATCCAATTTTGATCAGATATTCAGAGCACAAAACGATTGTTAAGAGTGGATTGTGGCACCTTGTCAATAAATTTGTCTGATAATCTTCCTTTGTGATCTTTTCAATTTCGTCAAGTAGTTAACTTTATCAAATCGTTACATTTATTATCTTACCTAGAATTTTAAAATCCCCATTATTCGAAGTTGGCATAGATAAGCACTGAGAATATAAGATCTGCATTTAATCGGTTACTAATATAAAGAAAATTTATTTCTTAGAGTTATATGTACCTCAATCTCTTTAGTAAATATTCTACTATTTCCTCTGAGTTAACAATTTTAGATGAAAATATCTCCTAGTTCATTGCATAAGTTAGAAATACTTTTTTCTGCCTTTTAATTACATATTTAAACAATGATTCAACAGCTTCCTCTAGGTATTGATAAGCAGCCTTTCTAAGCAAAGATAAATGTCATAATATTCTTACATGGCAATATCTTCTAGATCATTCTCAAGAAGTGATTGTAATATACTTTCTCCTCCACCAGATTCAATACCCCAATAAAGAACCATTTAACTAATAATTGCTTCAGCCTCCGGTTTCTGAGTTTTTAGCATCTTTCAAAATAGCAGACTATATGACAAATAGTCATTTTCAAGGGTACTCTAGTCTACTATTTGCAACTAGTTAGTACATATAGCGCTAGAAAATGTTGACCAATATAATTTACTAAAGAAATTCTAGCATATTGTTAGATATCGACCACTAGATCATCTCATCATCTAAAATTACATCATAGAATGCTGAAATGACTGATGCGATTCTATCCTCTCTTTCATTTAAAGCTATTTTTAGCACCTAAGTATTGAATGTCTTTCCTAATTCTGCTTTTAAAAAGCTTTTAATCCTTAAGAAATGTTTCTACTCACTAATAAGCTACATTTAACGAAGTATGCTTACGTAATATCAAAAGCACCTCCATTTACATCAATATCACTAGATATGAATCTTGATTCAAGAGTTTTCTTGGTAGCCAAATTGTTTTAAATGTTGAGATTATTGCCAACTTTTATGCTTGATCTTTTTTTAAGGTCGTCTCTATTACCAACAGATTCTGTGTAGAGCCCTGGCTAGTTCTAACTAAGTTTGAGTCCGCTTAAACCCAGGCTTGATTTCCCATCTTTTTTAAACTTTGTTGATTTAGTTTTTGTATTCAAAGTATTGTTTGCATTCTAAGTTTAACTTGGAGCTAGTGATACGTCAATAGTTTTGTTATTGATAATCAAAGGAGATAAAGGTATAGTTGGTATATGAGAGACCTGAATTATAGTCTTCGATTATCTACTCATTATTGGCTTAGAATTTCTTCTAGTTAGATTTTAGAGTTAGGACTTTTCAATCTCATTCTTCTTTATCTTTGCAATCTTTAGGATATTTACTGCAATTCTTTAAAGAATTTCACTACATTCTAAAAGAGTCTTAGCTATGTCCAGAGTTTCCATATGTATCGCTAGCCAAAACATCAAGAGAAATTTTTCGCTAGTTTCTTTTTCCTAGCTCAAATATATTAAATTTTACAATCGGATTCTATATTAATGAGTTAAATCTATGATTTATTGATGGTATTTTATATGCATTACTAAAATTAATCGAAGTCGTTGTCAGCTATACTTTTATAAATGTCAGTGGTAATATGATCTTTGTCTATTCTATATAGCAATGATTAGCAATATTTCTCTTGTTTATATCTACTTACACTGGCTTATAGATTTTTTACTCTTTGTTTTGAGGGCCAATAGACTTGCTTAGTACTTATTTGAGCAAACCTATTTTAGTCTATTACTTTTGAATAGGCCTAAAGGATTTTCTCATTTTAATTGAACTATGAATATTTAATTATACAAGAAAGTTTGATTATTTAATTAGTTTATCTCACAAACGCTACTCCTATTCTGTTTTTTATTTTTCCCTTGGGGTTTTGGGGTTTTGGGGTTTTGGGG